GTAATTTGAATGAATAATGATGCAACAGGTTTCTTTGAGCGTGCGTCTAACACATATTCTTTATATTGAATCTGCTAACTGTATTCATGACCATGTCCATAATTGTATCCACATTCCAGCTTATTTTTATTTTGACATTTGAGTTTTCCTCAGTACTTTTCTCAACATCTGTGCTTGTTGAACCGTACTCAAGTCCATACATCTTGTCTTTCGCTATTACATTAATATATAAAACTGTTGATGCCGAGTGAGAATTCAAGGTACCGAATCTGTCGTGCGAGCTAAATAAGAACCAATAAAAAGCTATACAAAGGAAATTTTGTTAAAGGAGGCTGTATGGGCATTAGAATAGCACATGCCATGCTAAAAAAAAAAATACAAATTCTTGTTAGGTATGCAAGGATGACAGTGTTGTGCTGTTTCTGATGTGTGACAAAAAACAAAAAAAATCAGTGCCATACAGTGTTCCTTATGGAAGTACAAACTGTTGAATTCGAAGCCCAGAAGTTTTATTCAAGAATGTTCCTCAATACAAATGTATTTTGAGATCTGAGCCACTGACTGATACATGACTATGTGGCAAACATTCATTTTTATGTGCATTATAGTTTACTAGGTCTAGTCTGCATTGATTTATTGCATTCATGCTGAAAGTGGGACGGGTTCTCTGGGTATGAATAAAGAGATAAACATTTCTTGATATCAAAACATTTGAGAACGGACAAAAGGAAGGATCTGAGAACGGTATCTTAGATTCTCTTCTTTTTCTTACAGTATATCTAAGGTTCACTTTATTTCACCTGATGCATTTAGTTTTTAGCGCAGCTGTTAGCACCCGTTTCCGCGTTTCGCGGCGTCGCTGTCGGCGTAACCGCTTAACTAAACTTGGCAGGAAATTGAATTAATGTTGTGGTGATGTGACGTTAATATTTCGCTAAGTCTAGCTGAGAAACTGAATGTTTTTATGGATGACGTGACACGGTCATGCGACGTCATTTTCCCCGCTACTTTTAGCGGAAAAACTGTATTTGTGTTGAGGTTATGCGACATCAATTTCTGCGCTAAATTTATTGGGAAACTTAACCCGCTAAATTTAGTGGGGAAATTTCCCCCTAAATCGGAGGGAGCAGAAGAGGAGGAGGGGAGGGGAAGGAGGGGCATACCCTCCCATCTTCCTCTTCGAGAGCTGTACTGTATTTTCTCATTACAGAGAATTGTAAACGTCTCATATTTCATCTCATGTTTTTTTAACTTTTATATTGCAGGTGCGCTTGCAGCACAAATCTGGGTTGTGCTGATCCTCTACGCACAAGTTAGGAACTCCTGAGTGACAAGAGTGGGAGTTTGGTCTGACAGCTCAAGGGACACCATTGTTCAGTATTGAATTTTTAGTTATCTTCTTTTGAGCAAAGTTAAGCTTTGCTGCATGCAGTTCTTCTAAAAATAAATACCTGCAACCAAATTTACCAGGTCACGACATTTTGCCTCTGCTCTTAGTGCTCCTGGTGAGCCTCAGATAAGAGCTTACTGGTGTGCAAACATCATAATTGTTTGAAACCACTCACTGATGTAGACTCATTGACATCTGGCATTCCAATGAAACGCTGGATATCCACAAGTCTTTGTTGAACAATGCAAGCGAGAAAGGAAGCATACAATCATATTGTATTGGGGGACATTCTACAGAGTGTTTTTTTTTGTATATTTTACAGATTTTTAAAATAAAGCTGTAAAAGCTACATTTACGCAGTCTGTACATGTGAGTTATATGGCCAGGGCGGCATGGTATAAAAGGCTAATTTGTAATGATCAGTCGGCTTATCACAGAGATGTGCCAGACTTCTTTCAGAAAACTAGATGGAGGTTCATTCTCGCGTGGTTTTATCCCGCGAATCTGAATATCCCGTTCGTTTTCCACAAAGATATAACTAAACGTGAGAAAACACAAAAAAAACATCCTACCAATAGTGACATCGTAAGAAGACCTTTCAGCCGCCAAGTGTGTGTCGCTTAAGGGCCGCGCGTCCAGTCGCAAGTTTTCTAGGTATATTCTCCCGCATTTTCACCAGTCGTGACACATTTTTCTGCCCCTTTAAAAAATAGCATGTGCGTGCATAGCTTTCATAGGCGCTGAAGATGCGTGAACAAAGATTTTGAAAGCTGCTCTTGTGACGTTGCTCTCTAGGGAAGTGCTTTCAAAGCGCTTTAAAAATGACTCTATGCAGCCTCGATTAATTAAATTGGCAAATAATTTTGATATTTGAGATTCTGGAGGTCAAATGCAGAAGATTTAAAAGTGTTTTCTCAAATACAAAACCGCTTCAGCCTCTCTCTAAGTATAGTATGTTCCTGAAATTTTTAATCAGTGAAAATAGACCCATGGTTCCAATTAGAAACTTCTAAGCATCATCAAAACACACTAAATCAATTTTCTTTGTGAAGATATAAGACAAGAGCAGCATTTTATGGTGTTCTAAAAAAATGGTCAATTTGGACGCGTTTCCAGACTTCGGTTTCTTACCAGAGCGCATCTTTGCACCTACGGTCCTGCTGCCCGGTGGCCGCAGTGCGAAGCCGCCCCCTCGCCTCCCTCGTAGGATGGAGGGAAGCAAGGCGCACGTGTGTTGCGCGTCTAAGCCCCTGGGGAACAGGACCGTGGGCGCAAAGATGAGCTCTGATCAGAAACTGAAACCTAGAAACTCGTCCAAATAAAGGATTTTACAGAACGCGTAAAATGCTACCCCTGCATTATATCCTTCTAAAAAGAGTTGATTTTGTGGTTTTCAGTGACTCAGCAAGTTTCCAATAGAAACCATAGTTTCATTTTCACTAATTAAAAAGTTAATTAACAAATTGTATTTAATTATCTGACTGATCGTTACGACTAGGTCCCTATACTACGTACGCCTGGCCATATAACTCGCCTGCACAAATCGCATTAATTTAGCTTTCACGACCTTTCTAAACATATATGTAAAGCTTAAAACTAAATTGCCGTGTACAACAGTGAAAAGGCGAAACCACCATGTTGGAGCCATATGGCTCCAACATGCCGGTATCGCCTTTTCGCTGGTATAGGATGTCCCATATTACGTTATCCATGTATGGTTCCGTCCGCCTACGTGGTTCCGCCGTAATCCACTACGCCGGTATAGGACGTCCCATAATACGACACGCTTGTATGGTTCCGCCTACCTGTATCGTTCCGCCGTAATCCACTATACTGGAGCTGCCTTTTCGCTTGTATAGGATGTCCCATATTACGGTTACGCTTGTATGAGCCTTTTCCATCATCTTTCCATCATCGATATTTTCCAACAGGGCTAAGTTCCTGTAAGCCGTCCTAGCGCTCGAGGGCATCGTAGGGACGCTGCTCTGAGTCTCGACTGGCAGAGTTACCCTTAACCCCGCTGATGCCTCCCTCAGTGTATCGGTCCCCTGCCAGAGGGTGACGACAGACCCATGTGGCTGTACAGTGGAACTGTGCAGGACTGCTGATCAGACTGGCAGAGTTGTCCCTCTAACTCCAAAAATAGAAGATTCCCATTTTAGCTCTTTGCGAGGCTGGTCTCTTTGGAAACCGCAGCATCCCTGGGTACTTCGCCTATAAAAACCCTTAAATACCAAGCTTTACCACCGGTAGCGCTGCGCTCTATATCCAAAAGGCTATCTATCACCACATCGTGGATGTCTCTGACCTCTGCATAGTTAACCGAGACCTCGTTGCAGTGCATGCCGAGATCGCCGGGCGGCGCCTCACTATTATCTCAGTTTATATCCGCCCATGAGAGGGCGCGGCAGAGGTCGCCGGATTGGTGGAATGCCTGCGCGCCAGGCTCAGCGATCCGGTTTTGATCTGTGGGAATTGGAACGCTCATCATGCTCTTATTGGGGGGGGGGGGGGGTACACCAGAGAAGACGGAAGGCGCAGGATGTTGGGAGATCAGTTTACGGAGAACAACCTTGTTGTGGCCAACAACGGTTCCCCGACTTTCTTCCGGCCCCCTCTTCCCTTTTAGTGCCATCGACGTCATAGCCCACTCACCGGAGATCCCACTGTCATGGCGGGTTGCAGCTGACACCATGGGCAGTGATCACTTTCCAGTCTTCATCGACATTATAAGCCGACAACGTCCTGGGGTTCACGACGTATCAGTCATTCACTGGGATCGATTCCAAGGGAACCTAGGACGATCTACATGACCGCTCTTGGGAGGCCATCAGCGACGCAGCGAAGAAAGCAACAATCAAGGCAACCGTGCCTACATCGTTCCCTGCACCCGACCTGACACTCCTAAACCTTTGTGCAGGGAGACGGCGGGTCCAGCGACTTCTGCAACGTAAGGATGGCGTGACCTTCAAGACCTTCTTCAACAGGATTGACGCTGCCCTACGACGCTACGTCAAAAAATGCTGCAAGTGGCAGTCGGATTCAATCTGCTCTTCGGTGGATGCAGTTACACCAGCCCGTCGTATCTGGAGGCTTATGGACTGTCTGTCTGGGAAAAGAAAGTCCAGCCTCCCATTCGCTTCTCTGACCTTCTGCACGGGAAAGCTACAAACGACCCTGGCCGAACACTTTGCCACTCTATATGCCGCCGCCGTTTCCCAGCCAAACACGCGCTGCCGTGCGGATAAAGCACTTTGCTGCATGGATGCCCCTTTAACGGAATCTGAACTGCAGATCCACTCTGAAAGCCTGCAAGCGACGAGCGGCACCGGGACCAAACGGGGTCACAACACAAATGTTGCAGAATCTTCCCGATTCACGTTTCCAGGAACTTCGTTTGTAATTCAATAATATCTGGGCCTCATTTAAATTTCCAGCGGTTTGGCGACGGGCATGGGTGGTCCTCGTACTCAAGAGCGGCAAACGCGCCGGAGACTTATCGTCCTACCGGCCGGTGTCTTTAACCTCATGTGTTGCCAAGCTCTTTGAGCGGCTGATACACGCCCGCTTGATCTGGTGGCTGAAGGAACACGATTTCCTCCTGTTAACTATGACTGGGCTCAGGTCTCGTCTCTCCGCACAAGACAGCATCCTGGACATTGTCAGTGCAGTGCAGCATGCAGCAGCTAACCGTACGTCTACCGTGGCGGCGTTCTTCGACATCCAGGCCACCTTCGACAATGTGAAACCGGCATCAGCCTTGGCCCAACTAACCACTCCGGGTGTCACGGGAAGAGTTCAGGGCGTCCTCGAGGGTTTCCTCTCAAACCGATCGATCCAAGTCAAACTCGGCAACACACTCAACCAATTAACACCTGTGCACCTTGGTCTACCTCAGGGCAACGTTCTGTCGCCTCTACGTTTTAACATCGCCACCGCGGGCCTCCCAGCCGCTCTTCCCAACTCAAAGATCCCGATTGGCATCTCCATGTACGCGGACGTCTTATGCACCTGGGTCTCTGGCTTCCGGCACCCGAGCTTAAGGGTCATAATGCAATCTGCCATAAACATGATCCAGGCCTTCCTTTAGGGCCAAGGTCTTTCGATTTCCGGCCACAAGGCAGCAGCCTCGATCTTCACAGGGAGAAATCGCCGGTTGCGGGAAATCAAGCTTCAACTGCCGCCTCCAAGCCCCTGCGCCTTGTGTCAAAGCACTGGTGGATCTTTTTTGGTCTGAGGTCGATGCTTCAATATAATAAAAACAAACTAATTTAATTGTCCGACATCGGGTACAGAATTGTTAACGCTGTTCGGGAGCCATCTCATCTTCCTTTTCTTTTTCTCGTCGTAGTGCACATCTTGTAATCAATTGGGGGGATCGGTGGCCGAGTGGGCTGAAGCGCACACCCAGCTCGATGCGCGTGGAGCGAAAGCTCGCGCTGTAGAGCCCAGGAATCCTGGGTTCCAGCCCCAGCCCCTGCCCGTTTCGATCTGGATGAGCATCGTACCGGCGTGCGGTCGTGTATCACTACTGCGTAAGCACATTAAAGACCCCAGGTTAGCAGTCGTACTGCACTGGCGAAATTGCTCATCTACAGTCTAAACCAGTGTCGCCCCTACTGGTAGACCAACCTTACGCTGGATAAATCACAAAAAAAACGTCCAATTCGATTTTGATTTTGTATTCAAGTGGCCGAAATCGTGGCAGCTCCAATGCTTTGGCCGCGTGCTTGTTCCCTTTTTCGGTGTCTTCGCGCGCTCTGAATAGTTCCAACAAACATCGCTTTCTCGGCATTACCCTTTAGAACAGTTGTGTAATATTCTCAGTGGGTCCGAGAACCCTGGCTTAGCATCAAGAACATACACGACCGGCCCCGACCGAATCCAAGCGCGATCTCTTTTAATCCCGAGCCCATCGTGCGGTATCACGCCGGCACGCTAGAACGTGCAGCACGGCGGCGCTGGTTTTTGGCGCCGCTTTGAGTTCACATGCTAAAATCACTACATATACACTTCTTTTTTTAAGCAAAGCTTAAAGGGGTGATGCGAGAATTTTTTGTACTTTCGCAAATACCGCTTAAAACGGATCCCTGACGTTAATAGAGAGTTTTAGAATAGGGGGCCCCAAAGCTTGGGGGCCCCAAAGAAATAGGGGCTCACAACTGCGCATGCGCAGAACCCTAACTCCGTTTGGGGCTTTGGGTTGGCGCCCCCAATAGACCGATCTCAACAGCTAGTTCGAGTACGCCACCGCTGCCGCCACGCATCGTGGGAGCTGTAGTCTTTATGCACGTGCGACAACCCCGCTGGAGGTCTGCAGGAGCAGAACACGAGGCTGCATGAGCTGTCCCGTGAACTGGCGTCTGCATCCTATGAACTACAGTTATGGCGGCGTCACGCATGCGTGCAACGCTTAGTGAGATCGGTCTATTGCTTGGGGCCGGGTTGCGTCGGCAAACATGGCGGCGCCCTTTCCGCTCGCTTCGGAGCAAATTCGTCATGGTCGCTGCAGTAGTAGCCCATTTCAATGCTAATGAATAGTGCAACCGGCTTTCGCTTTGCTTTATCTCGCTGAAATCACAAAGAATGAGCGGTGGGTTCGTCCCATTTTAAAGATCGTCCCCGATTCTGGCCGTTTCTAAGCCTAAACATACGCGGTAACCGTTGACATGGCAACGTATTGCTACTCCGTGGCTCCGAGTAGATTTTGTTCGAGGCACAATACCTGCATCTTGAAGACAAGTATTTCAAGGCTTCAAAGCCGCTCCAGCCCAGATCTAAATAGTGCAGCTGCTCGTAGAGTATGCGCGCTCGCGTTCGTCTCAGTCTCGGCATAGTCGAAGGCCTAAATCTTCGACTGCAGATGGTCAAAGCGTACACGAACGCCAAAAAAATTTGAGAACGAGCCATACCTGAAACAGCGCGCAAGCACAGAGTAGGAAAATAGAACACAAGAAAGAGCGCTGACTCCCAACTCATGTATTGTGAAAGAAAGAGAAAGAGGAAGCTTCAGACATGAAGCCCACGCGCACCCACAAGGTAAAAAGAAGAAGGAATAAAAACAGATACATTACTAAGTTGCAGTAGAAAAGGAGAAAACTGACATTATAAGGTCACGACGAAAAAAAGGGGAGAAAAAAGAAAAAGAAAAACAACAACGTGGGCTTCATATCTGAAGCTTTCTCTTTCACAATACGTGAGTTCGGAGTCAGCGCCCCTTCCTGTGTTTTGTTATCTTCCATGTGCTTGTGCGCTGTTTCAGGTATGTCTTCTAAGTACCAGCTAGCTCAACTTTCTATGTTACTACGAGGACAAGCGCCAAATTAGAGCGCTACGGATTGGATTGTTTCGGCTACACGCGAAGCCGGATGGCCGACCGAGTCGAGGCCGATCCAAGGCCAGAAGAAAATGGCGGAAGAGAAGGCTCCCGCGCGCGTTCGCTTCTCGATCGACGATTACATTTACGTGGTACTCGAAGTGTACGCCACTAACCCATTCCAGGATTTCAGGAGATGAACTTCAATTACCGAAAGGGTCTCCGAAGCAATCGGAAGAAATTTCACCACGCGGGCCAACCGCGGCCGGGTCGACCTGCTGCTGGCACAGTTTAATGCGAAGCACAGAGTTCCTGGTGACTTTTCGTAACGTAAAAACGAAAAAGGGTCTGTGTGAGCGAGCCTTTAGCCACAGAGTAGCAATACGCCATCATGTCAACAGTTACGGCGCATGTTTAGGCTTAGGAACGGCCAGAATCAGGTACAATCTTTAAAATGGGGCGAGCCCACCGCTCATTTTTTGTGACTTGAACGAGATAAAGCAAAGCGAAAGCCGGTTGCGCTATTCATTGGCATGAAATTAGCTAATACTGCAGTGACCATGACGAATTTGCTCCGAAGCGAGCGGAAAGGGCGCCGCTATGTTCGCCGACACAACCCGGCCCCAAGTAATTGGGGGCCCCACGCTATTTCTCGAATTTCACGTTGGGGGCGCGCGGCCACCCAAAAACCCAAACGGAGTTTGGGTCCTACGCATGCGCAGTGTTGAACCCCTATTTCTTTGGGGCCCCAAAACTTTGGGACCCCCTTTTATAAAGCCCTCTATAGCTTTCGTGCTGCTTCAGCTACAGGATGGGCTAAAAGCAAGCTACACCCACCAGCGTCGTGCCTGTGACCGGGGGATGGCCCCATTCGAGTTCGCAGATAATTCCATTGGCGCACATGATAGCCTGGTATTTGAGGGCGTGCACTCTCTTGTGACCAGAGAAGTAAATCTTCTGATTCATAGAAGATCGGCAGATGGGCCTCGCTTTGCCGTTCCAACTGGTGTTACCCTCCCTATTATTTGAACCGCAAGCCGCAATAAAATGTCGTTTCAGCGCAAATGTTTTGTGTTTTAATAATTTTTCACTGTTAAGAAGTTCCTTCGTTGTCCACAATGGCGCTGCATGCGAAAAAGGCGAGCGCGCAGCCTTGCGTCGTCACAAACCCTATTCTATAAGCACGCGGCGTGAGGTGTCGTTTCGTTGGGTACCCAAAAGCGTTGGGTTCCCCAAAGCCGTCGGGGCCACATATTCTAAAACTCTCTAATGACATATGAAACGCGTTTGTTTTTCACCCCACGCAATAGAATTCACAGAAAAAAATAAAGAAAAACAAGCAGCGTTCACCCCCTCAACTCGCAGCCAGAACAAGCGGCGACGTGATATGGAGCCGATTATATGCCGCCAATGTTGATCATAGCCACCCGCTGGGGTTGGCAAAGCACAGGACACGCGCTGAGTTCCAGACATTGGTATGGTTGGGCTATTGTCGCCGTTGTAGCGATTGAAAACGGGCCACTATCCGAATGCTTCTCGAGCTAGTAATTATCACAGGCCCAAATCGAGTGCCCACGCAGTGGTCGGGCCCAATCCATGAACCGCATTCAAATATCGTCATTGGGGTGGGCTGCGATCCCCACGTTACGTCATCAAATTTTGCAAAGGTGAGATTGAATAAAAATGATCGCTTTTGTCCTTGAAATTACGCCGCAACAAAGGAGTTTCTTGGCCAGTGGCGTTGCGTGCGAGTATCATCGAGTCCCACTAGGGCCAGGAAGCTCGTGTAAAGCGAAAAATATTCCAACTGAATATCGTTGCACCGCTGCTTTAAAGCGCAATTCTTTTAGTCTTCCTTTTCCCCCTCGGATGGGGTAAACTGTTGTATAGGTCGTCCTTCGTACAGATTAGAAGTTCTGAAATTCTGGGGAATAAACACCTCTTCACCTTGGAGTTGCACAACTCAGAGTTCAATGCATGTTCAAGTTCAAATCTAGGGAAATCACTAGTGATTCTGACTTGACTGTGGGCATTTGACAGTCCCACGTGGCAGAAGTTTGAAGAAAGCAAAAAAAAAAAATTTCCTGTGAATACACAAAGGAACACAGTTCAGCGGATATTACTTCAAGAAGTAGAAAACAAACTAGTGGCACTTAAATCCTAAGCAAGGTACTGAAGTTTACATATACTAAAAAATTCCCGAAAAGCACTGTTCGTACGTATACACAGTTCACTCTGGACGTTCCTCAAACCTTAGGCTTGTGAATTGTCTAAAGCTTTGTGTCGTTGTGGGGGATACTTCTGGTCCCACCTCCAGGCGCGGTTTCTCCGGTGTCAACTCTTGAGTGTTGTAGAACGAGAGCACATAGTCTTTCAACCTCTCCGGTAGTCTTCGTTGGCGTTTTGGACGAGCCGTCGCAACAGCCACGGTTGGTTCAGGTTCACAAGCACTTATGGAGTCCTCCAAAGGAGGCATTGAACAAGATGAGCCGGTCAGGAACGGGACAGGAGTACTTGTTAATCTTGGCCTGAATGGCTCTTCACATGATTCAGCGAGGCCGGTCGCAGAAGAAAAGGGAGCCTCTACGGGCTCAATGTCTTTTGAAGGCGTGCCGGGACCGGTATATTGAGCAGGAACAGCACCGGCCGGCTCGCAGTTAGGAACAGTACCAACCCGAAGTTCTAGGGCGGGTGCAGCATCAGGAAGAACAATGGAGCCGGAACGCAGTTCAGCGGCAGGGACAGGAGCAGCCAATGGCTCATGGACCAAAGGC